TCTGGGTGCCATGTGCCTGGGAGGGAGCACACTGAAGCAGGGCTAATTAGAAGAAGAAATAGACATAGGTAGGTAGAAAAACTACTACAAAACAATAGTTTGTTTCGTCCTTTATCTCAGACAAACCATTGTAATTCATGTCATTCATTGTGAGGCAGGTCATGTTGACCAAATCATATTAGAACATGTCATCTCCTGGAGAGGGTGCAACATAATGTGCTCGCTGGAAAGTGTCCCTCCCAAGGCAATACAGTGCAGTTTTTTCATTGATGGAAGTTTGAGTTTGAAGGGTAAATTGTGACAGCAGCATACAGGTGATTCGAGAATCTGCGTTTGGTAGGGATCAGGGCTGGGCAGAATGTTATCACAAGAATGCTGAGTTGTGGGCAAAAGTCGTGCCCCAGGCGGGAGTCGAACCCGCACCTCACGCTTTCCGGGCGAGTGCGCTATCCGTTATCATAACAAAACAGCTGGGTAGAATGGCCAACATCGTGAGATAGACAATCCTACCTGGCGACTGCCATTGTATGACCTTCCTTCTTGAAAGACGAACTAGAATGAACCTACTGTTTTCAAAACTAGGATGATTCTACTCGATCATATTTAGGAATGTGTAAACAACGACAGCAATGGAGTACCTACCCGGTTCGCATCATTTTCTATTCGGCTCTGCTGTGGTATGGCTGGAGGAACGGAAGCAACCATCTGCGAATGCAGCAATAGCCTCTGCTCGGCGTGATGTTCGTGTTCTTTGTTCCTACGAAGACAAGATGTCGTGGATCTTCTTAACTGCCTATTGATTCGCAATTGTTCCAGGCAAACCGGGTCATCGACAGCGTCATCAACAACCTGAACAACCTCATGAACGAGAACCGACCACGCAGCAGGTGAGCCAGTCATTGTACTCTGGAACATCGAGAAACCAAGAAACCAAAACTTGAACATTGTGACGTCAATCTGAGTCTTAGCCCAAAGACAGGCTTTGCACCCATTTCCGGGGACGACCTGTTCCATTTGCGAAGTGAATGGGTCCGCAGCTGCGTAGTCCACCTTCCGCTTAGAAGTGGCGCTGGAAAGGGTCTGGAGGTCCTGTTACAGTTCTGTATGTACCCTTGTGCCGTCTCCCACACTCCATCCGCGCTACTCCTCGACATACCAGCCCTGTGTTGATGTCAACACCCCGCAGCCAATAGCCGGATGGCGGGAGCAAAGCAAGCAGAAATGAAGGGCGCAGAGTAAGCAGCTGGTTTTAGCTATTGGTAGCCAGGATCGTGGCGTTCGCAAGCGCAGAGTCGCGGCGAAGGCAGTCGACTATTCACCCTTCCCTACCTTTGCACTTTGAGTGGACAAAGTGCACGCTCTGCAGATGCGGATCCATTCAATCCCACAACATGCAGGTCCAGGGTCCTGCAGAGATGAGTGAAGCAGAAGGTCCTGAGAGGGTTTCTTGAGTCGTATGAATTCTAGAACTGCGATAGCACAGCTCTTGTCAGCAACGTTCCCACACGTAGCATCCTGCACTCGGTTTTAACGGCGAAAGAGATCTGCCAAGTGGCGTAGGTGTCCTGTATGCGAGCGGAAGGTTGGAGTTCCTACGACTATCAGCCGACTGCATATTCGTATTGTCGACAAAAATGGACATGTGACGAGCGCGACAGCCACCCTCCACATGTAGGGCCTCCAGGTGAGCGGTCCTGATGTATGAACATTAGCTGTTCCACATAATAAAAAATACGTCGCAGCGGTACAGGTCATAGGTAGGAAAACGAAGCGCGTGCAAGGTCATATTTTAGCCAAGACCATCGGGTGATCTTCGTACGCACAACCAATGGACAGGCAAAGGCCTATTCCTTGAGGTATGTTCCGACAGGTATCTATGTTCTTGTAGTAGTACTCAGTATAAGCAAGAAATCATGGGTCAAGATATCCGAATTGCGGTGGCGTAGCGAAAGCAGTGTGGCAGGTGGCATTACGAGGAAGATGAAATGTCACACCACTGAGCGCAGTGACTCGGTTTTTGCACATCGCGATTCGGATATAGAACTGTGGGCTAACCTCTGCATTCCAGAGGACCCTGAGATGTAGCCGTGGCGAAGAAGGAGCCACATGTGCCTTCGGTGATCATCGATTTGCTCGAGCGAGCGCCGCTAACATCTACATTCGTCCCTGCGACGGCTAGAGTCAACGGGTCTTCTGTGCTCCAGGGAACACGATGAACTTCATACCATTCGTTCAGAGCTTTCACGAAGAAGTCTGACCATCGCAGGCGGTCGTCCAGGCGTTCGCTTGACATCCCGTGGAATCCAGTCGGTGACTGGGTCCAGCGGTCGTCCTCGAAACGCATGACGTGTCCGGCCCACCTGATCTTCGAAACCTTGGCAAATGCGGCGGCGTCTCTGATCTTCGATCGTTGGCGGAGTGCGGAGCTCCGGATTCCCTCTCTCACTTGCGTAGCGGGAAACTCCGAGCATCGCCCTTTCGATGGCGCGTTGAATAACGCCGACCGCATGCTCATCCTGCTTTCGTAGAGTCCAAGTCTCTGAGGCGTAAGTCAAAGCAGGAAGGAACCGCGGAATCGAAGAGGTGGGCACGGAGCTTGGTGTTCTTCGTCTTCTTCGCTACTCCCTCGATGTTCTTGAAGGCTCCCCAAGCCGCTCGCTTCCTCCTGCTTCAGCTCTGCCACCCTGGGTCACTGGAGGATTCGGTGATGTTCGCTCCGTTGAGCGAGTGTGGGGCATCAGAAACCACTCATTCCTTACGAACAGTGTTTTTGTCAGATTCAGCAGCAAATCGATTTCACCACACGCACAGTCGAAAAACGAAATCAGGTAGCGTTCGCTCCGCTTGCTCGAAGTTTGATTTTACCAGAACGATGCCGTCGTGAGAGGTGCTGAAGTGCTTGGGCAAGATGGTGCCGCCCTGTCGGACCCCTCTCTTATGCCGATGATGACTTTCTTGTAGAATGATTTCAATATTGAACTCTTTGATTGAAGGTCGTGAAGCTGCTGCTAAGCTCACGAAGAATCCTGATGTACTGAGAAGGACTAATCTGGCTGCCTAGAGCTTGCATGGCTGTCCTTCGTCTAGTGTTCTGCCAATCCTGTTCAGGATGACTCGTGTGAAGAGTTTGTAGACTACAGACAGCAGGCAGATTGGGCGATAATTGCCAATGTCGTACAGGTCTCCCTTCTTGTACAGCAACACAGTCTTGCTGGTTTTCCACGAGGTGGGTACCTTGCATTCCGACAGGTAGCGCGTGAAGAGTCGAGCCAGAGTTTTGACGAGAACTGGCGGAAGATTCTTCAGATGTTCGGGTCTGATCCTGTCGGGACCGGGTGCCGTACGGGACGCGCACTCTATTGCAGAGCTTGAGGAATGTGTGTAGGTGGACCGATAAGCAAGAGGTAGGGGGAGGAGCTGAGTAGGGTACGGGGGAATGGGTGGGTGAAGGTGATGCCATCCCGCTTCAAGCAGTACGGTGGCTGTCAAAGAGATCAGAGTAGAAATTGCGGGTACCCTTTCTTATCGTCCTCCGGGACGCAGTGATTGTTCTTTTCGGACGTCGGAGGCCGGGCATCTTTTCCTTACAGTCGGCGAAGTCGCGGCTGGCATGAGGACGCTCCCAGCCTCTGCGGCTTCCACCAGTACTGCTGCTCTTCTCTCCTTGAGGTCTTCCTTTATCGCTTCTCTGCATAGCTTCGCAAGCTCAGACGTCAGCTGGTAATTGCCTGCGGCTCGTGCGGCTCCACGTTGGCGAATCAGCTCGAGTTTCCAAAGATAGAACGCTTCTTGGTGACCTTGGAACTCTCCGACTCCTGCGCAGACGTGAAGAGTACGTCTGCGCAGGAGTCGGAGAACTGTAGGATTATCAAGAAGCATTCATTCGTTCCTCGTCGATCTTGGCTATAACGAAATCTTCCCTGAACCCAGCGAGAGATGTAAAAATATCCCAATTAGTGATGGTTTTGGGGCTTCGCTTCTTGAACTTTGCGGCTCTCTCTCCTCGCATCGAAAAGCGGAATCTTGCGCGAAGGAGACGATGGTCGGATCCCGTGTAGAACTTAGGACAACAGCGACATCGGTCAGGCAAAACCTTCGATTGAAGATGATGTGGTCGATCTCGTTATGGAATTGTCAGCAAGGCGAAACGTTTAGCGTAGAGAGTATGGCTTCCTGAACCAAGGTTACAATGGATGATATGGGCCGGCATTACGAACTCAGGCAATCTGTCGCTCTGCAGTTCCATTCCACTCCGCGAGATCCGGTGTGAAGTTGTTCAGCCGTTCCACTCGGCCCGCTTATTGCGTGGAAATCACCGACGATGACCTTGAAGAAGGTGATCTTCCTTGTAGAACTTCTCCAATTCCATATAGAACGCTTCGAGCTCATCCTCGTCGTAGCTTGATGTTGGTGCGTAGGCGACGAAGATTGTCAAAGCTGGAGTTGAACCACACATTATCGCAACGTCCGATTCGGGTGTCAGATTTTCGTACGAATCGATGTTCATGGCCAAGTGCGTGTTGACGAGGACGCCTCACACCTGCCAACGCCTCTGCTGTCGCATGTTATGTGGAACAGTTTTTCTCCGGTTGCATGTAGCGGGCGATGCCTTCTCGCCGTCCGATGACGCCGTACTTGATCTCCCTGGCTTGCATCATCACTGCATCCTCAAAGTGAGCCTCCGATACGAGCTTCCGTGCGATGAGGGCACTAGTGGTCATCCTAGTCATGAGCAGCTTGTTTCTCCGTGGACGCTGAAATTCTTGCAGCCTCTACCGAGCGCTCCCAACGAAGCCGCCTTGCTGGTGCTCTCTCACGCTGAGGGGAGCGAAGCTCGTAGCTGTTACTGTTTTTGGCCGACGAATTACAGCACGTAGCTTGCCAAGGTGGACGCTCCATTACATGTTCGAAAACATCGCAATCCCGTTCCACGTTGATGCTAATGATAGCAGTTCTGGGGGAAGGAAAAGGCACGCCTCGCAAAAGTTCGCAAAGATAGTCTTGACACCTGCGTCAGAAGCAGACTGATGGAAATCTTATTTCCTACGAGGAAATGATAGGAAATCGTCGGAAACTTTCTGATTAAGGCCGTTGTTGGAACTAAGTATCATATGAGCCTACGGTAAGCTTGCGGTAAAGAAGCACGACGACACGGAGTTCACAGATACAGGAACCCCACCATTATGCAGCCACGAAAGATAAGGCGATCAAGGAGGACCCTTATAACCAAGGCAGAGATTGTTGTCTGACCCATGGTGCCTTCACCTAGCGATGCCGTGTCGGGAAAGGGCGACATCCTCTGCTAATGCGGACAGTCAAGGGTATCATTTGAAGAATTCAATTCCAATGTAGTATTCAGAATGGGAACATTGGCGAAAAAGGGATTCAGGCTACGCTGCAATCCCCGCAGCGTTACACGCCCTATCGCTTGCAGAAATCATGACTGTACCGCCACAGCATGGCCTAGCGGTCCTTGCCAACACGGTAGGATGTGAAGAATCGTTCATCTCTTCATTGTTTCATCTGCAATGTAGAATTGAATGTATTTGAATTGGAAATTACCTACTAACTAGTAGTTTGGCGATGAGGTGTTAACATGTACAAGTACAGGAACGCCCATACGGTGAAACACGTTGGTGGTAAACAAAAATGCTATAAGTGAAAGTGCCAAAAGTGCCAAAAAAGTGGTATACATAAGGCAACCTATGAAAGTGGCCCTAAAAGATCCATTATCAACCCTAGAGATCTGAAAATCCTCCTGCAGACAATTCATACACTCAATTCCGCAGGGCCCTTGCCATGTGCTAGAAAAGGTAGGTAGGTAGGTAGTTGAACAAGTGTAACACTTTCCTTGCTCAAAGAAAACTCGCACGACCGGGTTTTACGGGTAGTAGGTGCTCAATAATGAACCAGAAGCAAATAAGTAACCCTTCAGTAGAGAGAGAAGCGAAAAAACTTTGGGAACTCTTTGAACAGAAACCGTCTTAGCAGTGGACGAGTGTCGGATGTCGGCAAGTTCGATCAGTAGCATTCGACGTGCAACCAATCCCGGCAAGAGCACAGGAAATCACCCTACGACGCTCCAGGCAACGCTATGTACACACGCAATTCCGCTTGTAAGCCGTTGTCTTGCAGAGTGAAAGTAATCGTGGTTGCAATGGTTGCAATAATCACGCATCTTCTTTATCTCGCCGTTTCGAGTGACAAAAGTGGTATGTCCTCTGCGAATGCGGACAATGATGCCAAATGCACGGAGGCATTTCGCGGACCACTTGGTCGCGAGAACTGTCACCAACAGCACTCGGAAACGAGATTGAAGGGATAGTAATACTCAGATGCCAGATACGGAGTCAATGCTAGGACAGCCGGAAGAGGGCGCAGACAAGTAGCGCGTTTGGCCGTGGTTGGCGGGGTCGGCTTTGCAGCAACGCGGGCGGAGTCCGGGTCTACCCGGGTGTTACTACGTTCCGGTCGCGTGCACTTCTGAACGGAAAAAAACAGAGTGAAGGGCCAGGATCTGGGGAGGTGAGTGTAGAGTATGTTGTTGCAGGGATAGAAGCTTGACGCCAGCCGCGACGCAGCCTACAGGAATGACACGATCGACATCAGTAGCTTCTAATGCCAGTACTAAGACAGCGAAACAACGTGTGAGTTCACATCTTCTTTCCTCAATAATCCTTGGGTGTAAAGATCCCAGGCACAACTGGATTTAACTGAGGTGGTCTGCTACTAGTCTGGGCGCGGCAGACTCCCATCACCCTTTACTGGCTTACCGTGCGCGTTCGTACCGAATCTAAAGCCCATTCGATTCCTGAACTTTCAGCCTCGGAGAGAATGAAATCGCACAGGGGCAGGACAGTTAAAGGGCGATTGAACCAAGGATTACAGTGAACAAGGCACAACCTTGACAGTGAACGACCATGACTGAGCATGGAATCAGCTGAGTAGGACAACTGAGAACCGAGCCCAACGAAGAATCTGGAAGCTACCCCGTTGGGCTCGTTTCTCAATTGTCTCTGTTAGCTGATTCCATGCTCATACAAGGTCACTACCTTAGAGAGAGAGGCGGTTGAGTTGTTCAAGTAAGTCGACGAGTAAAACCGGAGCGCCTCGCCTGCCTAGCTTCACTTTCTGTTGTGCTTGGCTGTGAAGCTTAAGGAGATCAAGTTTATTACGCTTGGCCAGAAGCTCGAAGCCAGAGCAACGCCTAGGCGTTAGTAGCTGCAGATTCCAGCCGATTCGCAGTGTGTCAGCACTCGAAAACACTTTTGCACAAAGACCGAATGACTGGTTTCAGACACCATACAGAAGCCGTTTCATGGGCATCGCAAACCAGTAAGTATTTTCGAAATGATTAAAACAAAACATCGAAAAACAACGAAAGGGGTCATTCTAGGTCCTCTGAAACTCCCGCAGCCAAGTCACCTTTCCTGCAAACCGCCGAAGAAAAAACAGCAGGATATCCGACGGCAAGAACCGCATCATTCCATGGCACTGCTTCTGAACAGTAAGTATGATCTAAAGAACCAAACGGCTATCGACTTGTTTCCCTCCAATCAACAATTTAGAGTCACCCATATTCTAAGGCTAGGGGCATTTTTTGCGCTAGGCGTGTTTGAAGTGGCGCCAGGGCACATCATTGGTTGGGGATTTTAGTCGACTCTATACGACCCCCTTTTTTGGGAGTTGGTACGACCCCCCCCAGCCCTCTGTCCTTCCTCATCGAATCGAGCTCAA